AGGAAATATGAAATCACGTCAATTTAACCAAAAAACGCATGATCCAAAATTGAATGATAATTCATTGTGGACGGAAACGCCAGCTGAAAGACAAGAAAGATTATTGAAATCAAAAGTAATAAGATAAATTTTATATATTTAATATTAATAATTAAATGTTAATCGAAATTCTTTTATATTTTGAATATTACACGGTTAACAGTCTTCTGTCCAAAAACGTAAACGTGAGGAAGAAGAACCTATCGAATATTCTGAATCAGATTTGGAGAATTCTAAAAAAATTAAAGAATTTAATGTAAGTTTCAATTAATATAAATATTATCAAATATTATTTGTTATAGTAATATTAATATTTGATAAATATCATATTTTCAGGAAATTCATCGTCCCAAATCGCTTTTAGAGGAACACTCCGAGAAATATTTAAAATCCAAAAAATGGAAAGATGATGATGTTAGAAATCGTCCATTCGATCGTGAGAAAGATGTTTTGGGTCCACGTCGCATGGATTCCCGTAAACGACAAGAAATTTTGGATAATGCAAAGGAATTATCTTCTAAATTTTATCATGGGAAACATGGATCTTTTCTTTAATTGTATTATATCTCTCTAGAACATATAAAGATTTTAAAATTTTTATCCCAGAAAATTTTGCCAAGTTCAAATTTAATCAGATTTAAGTTATTTAAAAGTGTTTCATGAAAGGGCATCATATAGTATAAAGTATGTATTGAACTTAACAATCAGAAAGAAATGCTTTCTTTTTCAATTCAAGTTAAAAGGTTGCTTTAAAATCCAAACTGTGTTTAAAACTTTATTACAAATATATTTAATTAAATAATTTCTTTTGTTTAGTTTTGATCAAATTTTTAATAAGTCTTTGCGACTTATTCATAAGGTTTAATGTGTTTATTACTTTTGGATTGAAAATGAATTCAGCCGCCATTGATGACAAATCTGACAAATCTGATAATGATAGTACTAAAGTTAATAAAGATAATATATCAAAATATCTTCACGTTTTGATATCGAAATATCGACTCCAATGTTGGTGGTATTTAAGGTAGCAATATTTTTTAAATTTTTATAAAATTTTTATAAATTTTTATAAATTAAATAAATTATTTAATTCTATTCTCTTTAATAATATATCGTTCTATATTGAAAGCAGACACGATGTCAGAAACAATATTTTCAGATCGTAATAAACTTGTACAAAAAGAAATGAATTTTTCTTTGATCGGAATGGCCAAACATTTCATTATATTCTTGAATTTTATCGATCCTATTTATACTTGGAGTAATACTCATCATCACCGACATTTGATCAACTTCAGATACAACTTATCACGGCCGAAACGATTAATAATTATGCTAAAAATAGGGTCACAAATTTATATTCACCTTGGCAAGAATTATTGCAAAATGCAACAAAAGATTGGTCAATAATATTAACATTTATTTTAACGATCCAGAATTCCCATATAATATTGATCCATATCTCAAATGTATTTAGTAATATATTATTAGAACCCGAATGGCACGTGATTTCTCAATTAAAGGAAAAAATTTGAACATAGTATTAAATGTGTTTATTCAAAATTAATTAATTAGAAGATTGAAATTAGTTCAATAAATAATTCTTCTAATAATATTCTTGATTAGAAAATTGTTTTTTTAAATTCTTTACCAATGTAAAAAGTTTTCTTTAAAAGATTGATCTTATTGAATAATTAATTAAATTAAGCAATAAATTAAAAGAAATCTATTCAATTACAAGATTACAAGGATTATAAATAATAAAGGAAGGTAAATTATTCTTTTAAATTTTGTACCAATTTGACATTTTTTTCTAAATCTTTTTTTAATTCTTCTAAATTTTCTAATCGTTTTCTACCAAAGCAATTTTTGATAATTTAGAACACATTTGAACATTTAAATAACAAAATAACAACAATAATAATGACGTTTTATTACCTATCGATTTCTTTAATCCTGTCGGGTACTTTCTTCAAATATGAAGCATTTTCAATCCTTTCTTTCAATGTTTCTAATTCTTTTGTAATCTTTTCATACTTTTTTGTTAATCTATTTAGTTCAGTATCTGTGACATCAATCGAGGTAGATTGAACTTCTAAAATAGCTGTCATTGGAACGTAAACTTTTAAATTTGGAGCTATTAAATTAACTGCGCTATTGTTTAATAATTGTGTCATTTGGATGTTTTTCTAAATAAATAATTAATTACAAATTACAAATTAAGAAAATTTAATAAAATACAAAAAATTATTATTACTGAAATATTGAAATGTAATAATACCTCAGATTCAACCGAAGAAATAACTTGAATATCTGATGCTTTGATAAATTCTTTTATATTTGGAAAATATTTAATTATTTGACTTTTATTGTTTATTAATTCTGGAATATCTGTCCATATGAAAAACGGTAAAAATTTTCCTGGAGTTACATTATTTTGTTGTCTAATAGATCTTGATGCATGAATTATATTTAAGACAGCCTAAATTAAAATAATTTATAAAATAATTTATATTAAAATATAACATAATTCTTAAAGTAATTATTAAAATATTAAAATATCATTATTATACCTTCATATCATCTTCAACTTTAGTATCTTTGAAACACTCAAATTCATCTTTTCTAGGATA